TGTATGTTGTTTCGGACCAAAAATCGATGCCCGCGGTCGCGTTACACAGGTGGTCGTTTAATACAGGTAACTTATACGAAGACTCTATGGATAAACTATACCGTGCCAGAAATTTTTGCCCGTTTTGACAGGTGCCCGTCGAATGCAGGTGGTCGCCTAAGCAGTTTTAACTGTATTTGGAAGTGGTGTAAAATATCTAAAACTGTAAATAATTTTGTATTATTTTATGATCTATTATTTTAATATGGTCTTTTTTGTATTATTAATATGACGTTAGGTTTTACTATTAAATTTTATATGTAATTATGCAAGAAATACAGTACGTCTATCAGTCTGTACCTCCCCATATACAACTTTTAATTTAATTGGAAACTCATCGAGATCTATGTGCGACGTAGTGGAGTGGTATTGATGAGGACCCACGACCCATGATTAGGGTAAAGTACTGTATGAAAAATATTATTTGAAGGAAAGATCACAGGCAATAATTATAAAAAAATTATGATAATATTGTTAATCACAAGACTAATTTAAGGAACAATTGAGAAGTTAATATATCAAAAAGCTATCATTTACTTTATTTCAATCTTTGTAGACGTCGTTCACAAAACAAAGGGATTTATAACATCCTATAAATTATTTGCTATTTTCAAAGCAATTATTTACTTCATCGTTTCGAAATATATTTGGAGGAAATTTTCTACAAAAAATTTCCCGAAATAAATTTAAAATTGAATACAATAATAATTGAATACCTCTCTTTATCAGTAAGTTGTTGTTTCATACGATAGAAGTATGAGTTGCAGCGCTTTCAAGTTTCTTTCTATTATAATTTTGGTGAACATTTTTGTAGTATCAAGCAGTAAAATTAATGATACTAAAACAGTAGATGACGTTTATAAAAATTTCTTAATAACTACGGAAATTAAATTGAAAAAATCATTAAAATTATTCAGTAAATTAATTTTACCGTACTTGTTAAGAATGGCAGAAGAAGTGGATTTATCCGAATCTTGTCAAATTTCGGGAATTCGATTTATGAAAGATTTAATACAATTAAAACCATGGAATATAACGAGTAAGTAGCTTTAAATATTAATTATTGTAGATTAGATGTAATTTTGTTCAGTTTATTCGAACTTTGAGTTTCTTCTTTACGCTTAAATAAATACCCACCAGTGGTCGAGTGGATTGAAGTGGCTACTGAATGCTTGTGGTTCGTGTCTGACCAGCGAGTTTTTCGGGTTTTTATTTATGTTTGTAACGTCTAAATTGGGGTAATTTCCCATAAAAAAACCACTTGAAAGGAATTCTCCTTGGCAGATCGCCGATGTGTTGCGTTGCCGTAACTAAATAAACCATATGTTTAAATTTTAAGGTGTTGTTTATTTATTATGTTCAACAATAAATAAACCCAGCCATATAATTTTGACGTTATTAAGCAAAAATTTTTATATTTAATTTATGTTATGAAATGCTTAATTTTATTAGTATTACTGCACGAAAAATGAGAGCCAGGAGACGGCTGAATGGAAGGAAATTAGATTATTTTATTCATTCTAATTTTTGTGTTTTTGTAAAGAATTGATAAATTTTGTATATATTCGGGATAACATAGGTTCACTTTTAAAGATAATTGATAACGATGTACCAATCCTATATGTGGGTTTAACTCCTCGCTCACTTCGTCGTTCAAAACTTCCGTGACGATTTTAAGCTAAGTATTTTTTGTAGGTTTACTACAATAAGAAAAAAGAAATTAAATTTACAGATAAATTCATTGCAAATTCCGTATATAAAATAAGTTAGATTATCGTCTTTGTATAATATTATACATCTGTATNCACCACTAATACAATACAAAATTATGTGTAGACTGAAATATTTTTTCTTTTATTATGTGTTTTGTGTTTGTATAATAAATTTATTTTTGATAACAATTTCATTAAACATTAAAAATTTTATATTTAACTAGCTGCAAGGACCCGCTTCACTGGCCAAAAAGTAACAATAGTGAAGATTAAGATTATTACATTATCTCCAATCTTACCCGTTTTCACAGAATGCAAGAATTAGGTCCCCCATTTCCAGACTAATTAGAGAATTTTTACATGAGTATAAAAATATGTTCGATTTCCCGCAAAAACGCAAAAAACCGCCTGTAAATCTTGCATGCCGCTTTATATTGTTTTGTTTTCTTTCTTTCTTTGTTACTCAACACTTCCATTGTTAACACTTCCATTGTTAACACTTGCATTGTTAACATTTCCATTCTTAAAACTTCCATTGTTAACACTTCCACTGTTAACACTTCTATTGTTAACACTTCCATTGTTGACACTTTTATTGTTACTGATCTTCGAAGCCAACCACTTTCAACCCCATATCTCCCGCACCATTACAGCTATCGAGACGCAACCACCATAGTGCACGAATAGAGACTTGGGGCTTACTACCACATACAAACACCATTCATGTGCGATGTGTAGTTTCGGCTAAAAAGTGAAATATAGGGACACACACGTTTATATATATATATATATATATATATAAACGTGTGTGTCCCTATATTTCACTTTTTAGCCGAAACTACACATCGCACATGAATGGTGTTTGTATGTGGTAGTAAGCCCCAAGTCTCTATTCGTGCACTATGGTGGTTGCGTCTCGATAGCTGTAATGGTGCGGGAGATATGGGGTTGAAAGTGGTTGGCTTCGAAGATCAGTAACAATAAAAGTGTCAACAATGGAAGTGTTAACAATAGAAGTGTTAACAGTGGAAGTGTTAACAATGGAAGTTTTAAGAATGGAAATGTTAACAATGCAAGTGTTAACAATGGAAGTGTTAACAATGGAAGTGTTGAGTAACAAAGAAAGAAAGAAAACAAAACAATATAAAGCGGCATGCAAGATTTACAGGCGGTTTTTTGCGTTTTTGCGGGAAATCGAACATATTTTTATACTCATGTAAAAATTCTCTAATTAGTCTGGAAATGGGGGACCTAATTCTTGCATTCTGTGAAAACGGGTAAGATTGGAGATAATGTAATAATCTTAATCTTCACTATTGTTACTTTTTGGCCAGTGAAGCGGGTCCTTGCAGCTAGTTAAATATAAAATTTTTAATGTTTAATGAAATTGTTATCAAAAATAAATTTATTATACAAACACAAAACACATAATAAAAGAAAAAATATTTCAGTCTACACATAATTTTGTATTGTATTAGTGGTGTCTTAAACATTTTATGAAGAATTAAAGCTGATTTGTATTATTGGGATGGAATTTTCAGATTTCGGACCTATTCTATAGACTAAATCGAGCACGATTTTGTTCATCCTCTTTAAAGCTGAATAGCTTCTGTGATTTTTGTGAAAAATATCTGATATTTTGCACCGAGATTTGCGTTTTATGGGGATTGATGCTATCAAATTTTTATTGACTCTAAGGAAGGGTAGATAAAGAGAATCGTGTGTCGTATAGGGTCGGACTTAATGACGATTTTAGTCGTTATTAGCATTTAAAATTTTTTTTATAAAACCCATCAGTTTCTTAAAAATTAAGACTTTTGCAATTTTTTAATAAAAAAAAAAATATAAAACGTTNGTAAAATTAATGATACTAAAACAGTAGATGACGTTTATAAAAATTTCTTAATAACTACGGAAATTAAATTGAAAAAATCATTAAAATTATTCAGTAAATTAATTTTACCGTACTTGTTAAGAATGGCAGAAGAAGTGGATTTATCCGAATGTTGTCAAATTTCGGGAATTCGATTTTTGAAAGATTTAATACAATTAAAACCATGGAATATAACGAGTAAGTAGCTTTAAATATTAATTATTGTAGATTAGATGTAATTTTATTCAGTTTATTCGAACTTTGAGTTTCTTCTTTACACTTAAATAAATACCCACCAGTAGTCGAGTGGATTGAAGTGGCTACTGAATGCTTGTGGTTAGTGTTGGGTTAGTGTCTGACCAGCGAGTTTTTCGAGTTTTAATTTATTTTTGTAACGTTTAAATTGGGGAAAATTTGCATAGAAAAACCAGCTGAAAGGAACCCTCCTCGGCAGATCTCCGAATGCTTAATTTTATTGGTAATACTGCACGAAAATAAAGAGCCAGGAGACGGCTGAACGGAAGGAAATTAGAATATTTTATTCAGTTTAATTTCTGTGTTTTTGCAAAGAATTGATAAATTTTGTATATATTCGGGATAACATAGGTTCACTTTTAAAGATAATTGATAACGATGTACCCATCTTATATGTGGGTTTATCTCCCTGAAAGTTTTGAACGACGAAGTGAGCACGGGCTCACTTCGTCGTTCAAAACTTTCATGACGATTTTAAGCTAAGTATTTTATGTAAATTTTCTACAAAAAGAAAAAAATAAATTCACAGATAAATTCATTGCAAATTCTGTATATAAAATAAGTTATAGACTATCGTGTTTATATAATATTATACATCTGTATTGAGATGATGATGATATCATTTGTAATGCAATGATTAATGGTGTGAGATCCGGAATTTTGGTGACGAAATTATTGCTCGTTTATTAACAAAAATTGTTATTTAAGTAAATTTTCGGTTATATAACGCCCTAGTAGAAAAAACGATCCTGCCCGGGATTGTGTAAACTTTCCGGTCTTAAGTAGCAACATCCATTGTTCTCTGCAGAACTTGCATCTCATCTTGCAAAAAGGTTGACAGTTAGCATCCAAATGTCGTCATTTGTTATAGATCCCTGGAACACCTATAACCTTTACCCTATGTACATCCGATCACGTGGTGGAAATTCCCCACTAAAACGGATAAAAGGCCGTTCTTACCCCTCTCAGGGGAGTCTATTACCGAACACAGGATTAACAACATCGCGCTGATATTCCGAACCAGCCGAATTCCGATCTCTGATGAACCTCGANGACTTTTTTACAGATGTCTTCAAAATCCGTACTTATAGTTATGCTAGCGAAAAAATCCAATTAGGAACATTTATTTTAATAGTTACTAGTACTTTTCGTACAAAAAATGTAGGCGTAGTTATGATACCTTGTTTACAATTCACTATAATGAAAATGGAGTTTCATAATACCACCTTTTATATAAGAGCGTATGAAGAGTATGCTCTAATATGTGCCAGCTGTTTTTGGCACTGCACTGCTATATAATTAAAGATAATAGAGTAATGATAGGACCTTTTTGTATGAATTGACCTTCAAAAATATTTTCTTGTAAGTTCATTAGTAATGATTATTTATTATATTTCAGATTACTTGTGTCTTACTGTGGATTTTGAGTGTAGGTTTATTAGGAGTAGTATTATTTGGTATGCATGGTTATAGAAATGAATTGTCTTCGAACGAAACTATAATTTTACTTCACAAATGTGTTTCTCCGTTTGCTTGGACTGCTGGTTTGGCTTGGTTTTGTGTTGCCTGCATTACTGGAAATGGTGGTAAGTACACAATAAACGTATATACGTTGAATACGATTTTAGTTTTTATCGATGAAATATCAAGAGAGTGAAATTCTATTGCACCGATATATTTTCCAATATTCTTAAATATTTCCATGTGAATATTACTCTTATTTATGTAATATTTTACTTACGTACGTGATCTAATGAATAGAGTTAAACGCTTATATATATATACATATATATAATTATAATTTTTACACAAGAAAGATTTTTAAGCTGTAATAGGTTTAGCGTGAGAATATTTTTTAATATCTATCGAACAGAAATATTTTATTTAATGTTAATTTGAAATATGTATTCTGTTATAATTGATTGTTTGGTTTTATTTGTATACGGCAACACGACACACGGATAATCTGTAAGGAGGGATGTCTCCAGGGAGGTCTTTTGTGGGAAATTTGTTCTTATGTGTTACAAACGTGAAGAAAACCTGAAAAACTTTGTGACCCATGCCCAATTTCCAATGTTCAGTGGGTTTATCCCAAGTCGTCTAAATCAGGGGTGGCCAACTTTTATGTACAAAAGATCTACTTTTTATCTTAAAAATGTGTCGCGATCGACTTGTTGTCGTAGGGTTAGTCTAAGTGACGAGGGGATGGTGTGAAATGCATACTATGTTTAGATAGGTAAGAAAAGCCACAATTTAATTTAAAACATGAAGAAATTGTATACATTGTATACAGACATGTACATTGTATACAGAATAAAAATTGAAATTCAACTTTCGGGGACCACCACTTCACCCCTCTTCTTTCTACTGTGTCCCGACTACTCCCTCTGTCCCACTTCCCACCTTTTTTTTTTTTGGTTTTACGATCCTTTGTCTACATTTCTTATTTCCCTTTTACAACTGTACGGAAATGAATATCACATGGACCGACAAAACCGCATCTGAGGGAAGACGCGATGGTCCAATATCACTACATTTGCATTTGCGCGTTACGTTCGGTTACAAGTGTAACACATTAATTCAAGACATCGCGAGCGATCGACCAAAATTGGCTTCGTGATCGACCGGTCGATCGCGATCGACTTGTTGGCCACCCCTGGTCTAGATTATATAGTATAATATAGATGGCCTCGGTTTATCCAGTCAGCCATGGCGCGACCGTGAAACTTGATAGATCATTCTTGCATCAAATGCCAGAAAAGTTTTTGTGCTTTTGTGTTACTATTCAGTATGTCATAAAATGCTATATCAATGCAAGCTATTATGCATAAACACGTCGTTATTTAATACACAGAGTGTTCGAAAAGTTTCTCCGTACTGGGAATTGGATGATATCGGAATGGTACAACAAAAATTCATTATTTACTGTCGTATCGAAATGAAAATGTCATTTCTAACAGGTATGTATTTAACTCCGTAGCCGTTCATTTTATCCCAATGTAGAATAATTTTCAGTTTTTTGTGCGAAATTTCGATTATAGGTTAAGAGATTTCTGTATTTTTTTGGAATTTTTTTTTATTTTAAAGTTAAAATATACTTAAAAGAAGTAAAGTGAAGGGCATCCACTTATCACTTTTCCATTCGAATGAATTTATCATTAGTAAAATCATCTATCAGAGTAACACTACCGTAACATTAATTAACTGTTAATGCGTTGAATATTTTCATACTTAGATTATTCTAAATTTTCAGGTATTGTGAATTCGTTTCTATCTGCAAATGTGTTTATTAAATTGAACCGTCTGTCAGTGTGGCTGTACATGCTTCATCCAGTTGTTGTCCTTTACGTTTACGGACAACTTAGAAATACACTGGCCTTCACCGAATTAAATTTGGTAAAAAATATACTTCATTACATGATATTAATTAATATTTACATATGCCTATGATTTTGAAGAGAACTAAACTAATTGTTTCTATGTTTTCAGTGGATTATGTTTTCCTTTATGGTGTTTCTTTCCTTAATATTATCGACTCTTTTTTACGTATTTTTGCAATCACCGTTCATCGCTGCTTTGAAAATGTACGAGTGGAGCTTTTATAAGAATGAAAATCCAGGAAAATTAGGAAAGACTTCTAAATTAGATACATTGTCTGTTCGACTGTAAAAGGACAACGATAAAATTACGATACATATGTAACATTTAATGTGAATAAATTACATTTGTAATAAACTGTATGAAAAATAGAAGACGTTTTGATTTTTTAAAATTTAATTTTGAAGCCATGACATAATAACGAACGTTTATTCTGCACTCTAGTGAACAATGAGAGGTTTGCAGGCTGCTTATTTATATACAATCAAAACTAAATAAAATGCTTTCCTAACTATGAGGACTCCTGTATAAAGTATATAAATATTCATGGAGGAATTTACCTCACAAATGTCAAGTAGAGAACTGAGCCTTATTTTTTGAACTGCAAAAATGGCATTGTTATCAGAAAATTATGTGACTTTTAATATCTGAAATCTGTGTACAACATGTTTCTTATTTTTCTCGTTGACGGAGTTAAGCTTAGCATCACACTCGATGTATTGTGAAGAAATCTACGAAGTTCCGTCGATATATCGAGATTGAAGTGTATTTAGAAGTGTAATGTTGCAAAAAAAGCGCAGAAAAGGTGAATTGTTATCACACTATTACAGAAAAATAAATGATACAAAGTTTTCGTAATGAAGACATTATACATTTTTATATTTGTTAATGTTTCATTATTTTATTAATTTAATACATACTCGTAATTCCTTCGTCCGATGATTCTTTTAATATTAAGATGAAGACAAAGTTCGCCCAAACAGGGACCACCATTTATTAATTCTGTGTTCCAGACAATACAATCTCCTTTGCTCAAAAGAATCGGAAATGGTTCAATAAATTGCAAGATTTGAATTTATTTATCAAAATTTCTTTCAATATGAAAATAATCCTCTTCATTCTAATGCCCTTATTCCAATGATTTTTCCAATCTTCGAAAGATGTTTTCCTGAAACCCTTTCGGAACTCTTAGAGAATTTCGTTTATGGCATCAATATATCTACTGAAAACGATGACCATGAAGTGGAAATTTTAGTCGAGGAAACAGCAAAGAGTCACATTGTACCAGGTTGGGTGATTAGGTAGGTTGCAAAAAGCACGGATTTTGTATTTGATAACATTATCGTTGTGCGAAATCCACGAGTTTTCTCGCCAGAAAACGAGTCGTTTTCTACGAATTGTTTCATGTAACCAAGGGAAAACGCTCAAATAATATTTTTCGTTGATTGTTTTGCCAGTGGAGACGAATTTGTGATGCACAGCACCAAGACAATGGGAGAAAACAGTTAACTATGAACGTAATTTTTGACTGACTTATATGATCTTTTTGGTCTTGCTTCACCTTCGAGCACGTTTACTCGATTGTTGAACCGTTTTAGTGTCATAGTCAAAGATTTATGTTTTTGTCACACGTAATGATGCTGTTAAATACAGATCGCCTCAAGAAAGCATTTTCTCGGCCACCCAAACAGATTGTTGTTTTTGAAAAACATTCAATGTTTTCGGAATGACTCGTAAAGCGTCGCGCAGCAAACCCAAATGATCTTTTAAAATTCCTCGACAAAATCAAAATGATATAGAACACGTTAAATAATATCGCTAATTGTTAAATGATGATCATCGAGCAGCAAATCTCTGACTTAAGAGAGGTGTTCAATTGTCTATCATAGCGTAGTTCGTCTTTGATGCGTTCTCTGCTTTTCTCGAACATTTTGTACCACTTGAAATCTCTCCTTTTTTGATAGAATATCATCAGGAATCCTGCAATATTTCCAACGTTTATTTTTTTCCAGTACTTCAGTTACGAAAACAAAATTTAATGCACGTGTTTGCTAAATAACATTCTTTATTTGGAAAAATCGTCGGAGCAAAACTCGCGTTTATTTGCAAACTAAAACATACGACGATGTACTGATTTCTGCTAGTTATCGATGAATGTCGAATTAAACGATAAAAAATGACAACGGCGCCTTCTTGTAGATTAAAATGAACCAATGTCGATACATTTTGATGATAGTAGTATTACGTTAAGTACATTAAATTTATATTTTCGCGTAGAAAACAAAAGCAATATGAGAAAGTAGCAACATTACAAATGAAAAGAAGGTTTGATGAATAAAAATTATAGTGTGCATAGAGTTTTGTATCCTCGAATGAAAACCGAGGATACAAAACTTTATGCAAACTATAATCTTTAATCCATGGAAACCATATATGTATGCAAATTCGATAGAAACTATATCTTTATGGAGTAGAATGTATAGTTTTTTCGAGGAAATAGTGTAATATAAAACAGAGTTAAATTTTTGAGAGTAATCAGGTGTTTTTCTCTACTGTTTATTTAGAGGTAACATTAATAAGAAAAACATGTAATGATGGTTCAAAAAGTTTCAACACTCAGATGAAACCTTACAGAAACGAGATGATCACCAATACGCGCGAAGATACGTACACCAAATAGAGAAGACCCTTAACACGTGCAACTAATTAAAAAAATCTTTCTTAATCTGAAGACTGAAACATACATAAACTATCGTTGTTTGTTTAGGTCTGTAGGCACGCGAATGATAATTCTGTAAGAACAGAGAGAAAGACAATGAGAAATCAAAAGCTCCTCCTTGGCAATTTTCGTGCCGAAAACAGTACAAGTAAGATGGCAAGCAATAATAGCAATTCGAAAAATAGTACATCCCAAGAACATATTCAACAGAAAGATTAATTAGGAAATTAATTAAATTCTTCAAATTGCAACTAGAGATACGGATGTGCGATGTCACATTGTCACATCAACCAAGAAACCTTAAAGAAATTACGATTCAAAAATGCAGCCGACACAAAAAAGTTACTTCCGATGCTCGGAGAGAAATGTCCTAGTCGCTTTAATGATGAGTGTATCTTTACATCGATAAGTGTAATAAAGATACGCGAACAGAAGACATTATTATACTGATTATGTCACAAATCCAATATTGTCAAAAAGTATAACGACAAAATGAAATTTGATGAACAGCTAGACACGGAAGAATCTCCTGTTCCAAATGGTATTACCAATTTAAAGGTTTATTTCAACAAAGAAGAGGAAGGAGTCCAATGTGAAATGCTACCATTGGTAAATATTTCAGAGGAATAACTGAAATCTAATTTGAAAAAACCGAAACAATTCTTTTCCTTTATGAAAAGAAAGATGAACAAAATTAAAAAGGTCCGATTTATCCTGATCCAACTTATCATTACTACGACAAAAATCTAGACAAGACAACATAAGACGGATTTTACATGGATAAGAGCAATTCCTTCAGAGAAATTGTCATTGCTGAAAAAAGCGTTTTAATTAAACTGGACAGAGAAGGCATTTTCCAAGAGAATTCGTCGAGTGACTCAAATTACGGGAAGGAAATGACACAGATTCCGATACCTTAGAACACAAAACACTTGGATGTGTTCCTTCGCAGAAATGTTTGTTTGAAGAGAATGATCAAATATCACAGAATCATTCTCGGAAGATTGGAAAATTTCTTCAGTGTAATGCAACAAGAGTTTTATTACTTTAAATTATAATGATTTATTTAATTATTTCTGTATGAATTACCATTTAAAAATAAACACGTTAAAAATATTATGGAAAATTCTTATTAATGTTTGATTGATTTTGTTTTTCTTTCATTATACACACGTTATTAATAACTTAATTTTGTAGTAAAATATGGTAGAAACAGCACACAGATAGTACACTAAACATGCAACGACAGACTGTATCAAACGACTCCCTATCAGTTAATTTGCATAATTACACACGAAACATGCAGCTACTACGTCACATCAAATATTTTGCACATTCAGGCAAATCAAATTTTACGTCATGTTCAACAGATTTTCGTATTTCGTCACAATTTTTATCAGATACCGCCATCTATCGAGAATACTAATTAACGCTCCGATTAGAGATCATCGGATGCGCCGCCATCTTGGAACCTAAGGTAACATTAACCTAACTTATATATGTATTTTTATACCCTAAAGGAATTTTATATATAAATTTATAGATTCATTTACAAAGGAATAATAGAAAGTAAATTAACATACATAACATTGATACGTACTATATATCTTAATTAATTAAATGGCAAATATCCAGTGTTCAACATAAAAATAAATACAATTGAAAAAAAATTAAAAAATTCCGTAAGTGGACGAATGGTAGATTTTTCGCCTCACTAGCAGTGTAATTATTGTGGTATTAAAATTTTTATTACACCTAATAAAATCCCGTTTCATTCTAAGCATTTTTATGAAAACCGCGCCATCTTACTGTGAGTTTGTGAGTTATTAATTTTTTAAAATTTCTGTGATTTTTGAATCATCCTGTATATTCTAGCTTCACTGAAAACGCCTAAGTTTTAAATCATGGATAATACAGTAATACGTCGATCTAATGGACTAAGTCAGGAGAAGGGGTGTCCACTAAAACCAAAAGACCGTTATATAATTAAGTTTTTCTAAAGCGTGCATTAAAAATTGACAAATTACTTAATTTATCTGGGGTTAGTTACGTAGATACGTTTATGTAATTAAAATTAAGTACGTTTGAGAAGTTTGATTTTACAGTAAAGTTTTTTTTATATATATAGGCCTATTGTTTATGTACTAACCGTAGTTCAGAGACTGTAATAAAGAAGTATACGATCTAAATGGAAAAAAATAAATAGACAATAAACAGGTTGCGGCCGACGTTTTCTGTCGCAAAAAACGTGTAAGTCGGACGTTCAGCGCCGCCTGCCTGTAAGCCTAGAAGTTTGAAAATCGTGTTTGGAACGTCGAGCATGATTCCACTAACATTCAAAACGCCATTGTCAATCGTTTTGGCGATGAAAACGTCGGCCGTAAGCTCTCTATTTTTGAAAAAAATACACTTTAATTATATTTAACTAGCAGGTAGGTTCGGCGTTGCTCGGGCAAAAGTAACGATAGCGAAGATTAAGATTATTACTTTATAGGCAATCTTACCCGTTTTCAAAGAAGGCAAAAATTAGGTCACCCTGTTTCCAGACTAATTAGAGAATTTTTAGATGGATTAAAAAATGTTAAATTTCTTGCAAAAAATTTACGTGAAGGGGTAGTTCTTATTGCAATCAATTTTCTACAGACAATTCTGTGAAGATGCTTACTCCTTCAAACAGAACGATTGTGGCGTAGCTATTATTATTTTATTTATATGTAATTTCATAATATTAAGGGTCTAATTAGCTAACTTCTAGTTGTTTGGTTCTGATTGAAGGAGTAAGCATCTTCACAGAATTGTCTGTGGAAAATTTATTGCGATAAGAACTACGTAATTATTTGTACCCTTCACCACGTAAATCAAGGTAAAAATGTAAACAAACGTTAGATAATCGCGATTTTTGTCATTTTTCAGGTCTAATTTAACTAATTTTCATATTTAAACGAATAAGTATTTTATTAAATTTTGAGAGAATGAGAGGCGATACTTAACGGAGAAAAAGAGAAAGAAAGAGCAGACTACAGAATCAAATCAGTTGTCAGAACTCGGGGTAATAGGACGTTGTTGGTATTAGCGATGGAGTGGATGAAATGAATCTCTTCAATGAAAGGAATAAACGGTTACTATTGTAATTTTGATACCCAATTCTACTCCTTCTCCAGTTACAAAAAGAGCGGATGTCAATCGTTAAAACTTAAGATAATTGACACTGTAATAAAGCACTTATCGGTTTTTTTACGTTAAAAACGAGTGTGATTCATACCCTTCTGTAAAGGTAATAAACATTTACTATAGTGACCTTGACTTCCACCCCCACTTCTCTCCAATTAGAAAGGAAGCCGATGCCAGGCAGTGAAACTTGAGAGAATTTAAACGGAAATGAAACTAGATATGTTTTTTTTTTTGCATTTTTGGATCAAATTACAGTAATATAAACATAAGAAACGTTAGAAGGAAGAAAAATTACATAAATAAACGATATAATCGTATTTTCTGATGGCAGTAATGCCAGATTTTTATTAAAACAACGCGATTATATTTAAAAAGCTGTGATTACGATTATTAAGCTTAGTGCTCAACATAATCCCTCTTGAATCATTCCTATCAACCCCCAATAAATCATACAACGGCGCAGTCCATTTTAAACCAATGGGAGCACAGATAGAAATGATTGACAGGTCAAAAGACGTCACGATGAGGAAAACCATTTTGCACTCCACAGTACATATGTTCTCTGTTTTGTATTTAATAAACTACCGATGCAGTGCCCTATGATCCTATCATCACCCTGCCCTCATTTTCATCACTTGGGTTCTTCTCTCTTCCTCTTTTTTCACCATCTTTTCAACCTCCTGATCGTACCTTTGAGTGGAACCAGGAGGCAGCCTCTTCTTTCAACTAAAATGTAAAATGTAAGTTCGCGTGTATGCACGCTTTGCAACCGTCTTCGATTCCATCCATTTGACACTCGTAGGGAGCTTTGACTTAGTACATTGTTTTAAGATTTAAAAAGTAAAGAATATTTTATATTTTTATGTACGTTTCTGTACAAAACTGTATTTAATTATAATTTTCTTTAAAAGTATATTCATACAATTGAAGAATATTTTGTACCAGGAGTGAAGATCTTAGTGAATGTTCTTTCCCAACTCCGTCTCGTTGAGTTGGTTTCATGTGTATCACGACTCGATGTAGTGAATCAGGTTCGTTGGAAAGCACACCTCCACACTCAAATTGAATATATTTACAGTTTATTTACAGTCGTAGAAAGTACAAGTTAGAAAACATAGTATATGTATAAACATGCGTGGTGACTCACGTGCTAGATTGGCGTCTGGAAACTAATAACCTTTGGAGAGACCTCAGTCAGCTTGTGGAGTTGGCTCAACTGCACGGTCGGTCCGGTCTCTGCACTAACCAGTCCCTGAGATGATTAACAGAGGAGAACACTCTCTCTGCGCTCAGCGGGCCTTCCAAGTGCTTGAGACTACCGTGTACCAGTCTCTTGCCCTTCTCTCCTTTCCTCTCTCGTTCGCCCCGCAATTTAAGGGTTTTTGGAACGGGGACTTCCGACCAATCACAACCCTTTTTTATGCCCGAACAGCTTACACTCGGGTCCGCCGTCATCCGACCAGAGTGAAGATTACACAAACGTCCGCCACTTGTTTACGTTCGTTTGTTTACCATATGGCAAATGTATTAACGTCTGACTGCAGATGGGTCCAATTGACAAAGCCGGTGTTTCCTTTGTCTTCCCTCTGTTTACAAGTCAACACCTTACAAGTGGTATTACCCGACCGCACGTGGGTCCAATTGACAAGGTCGCGCCTCTTTTGTTCCCACTCTGCTAAAAGGTCAATACTTTACACCAGATATGTACCGTTACATCCACCACACATTTTATTTCACCAAGTAAGTTTTTATTATTTTATTTTTAACTGTAGCCCTTATATCGTGGTTAGCGATTCGAAATGTAATTGTGATTTTAAAAATGCATTTAGAGAAGTCTACGGTTTTTACTGGCTTATCGAATAAACGATACGAATAGACCCTAGACCATCACTGAGGCGCAATTAACTGATTGCCCTTGGATGTCGTCTTGTTACGAAAACACAGCTTCCCTATCATCAAATGTCACTGCACGCCATTAAATTTTACAGTGTTAATTTTACTTTATTATTCTCTCCCCTTTCATAATTTACAGAACATAAAAGTTTCCTTTATACCAACTTTCAATTTCTATTGTTTTAATTGAACTTCCTTTTATAAAATACAGGTACTTTATTATATACTGGAATCCAGTTGTAACTATTATCTATAACATACATATAGTTTTTGTCACTAAGATTTAAAGTAAAATTTAAAAGAGGACCGATGAGGGACATGTCCGAAATGCACATCCTCCTAGAAATTACAACGAGAACGAAAAAGTAATTTAGTACAAATATAAAGCATATATGAAAGGAAATTTTTGTAAATAGTTACCACGTATATAAGTGGAGAGAACGAAATAATAAATAATTCATGTTTAACGAACAATAGTTTTCGAAAACAATAGTAACTATGATTACATTAAACAATGCTGCTGGCCGGCTTAATTCTGTATTGTGGGTGATTAAATACAGTAAACCTGTCTATGGCGATTACCCACGGTTCCTTCAAAATGTGGTCTTTTAGACAGGTGGTCGTCCAATACAGGTGGTGCTGTAATACCGTATTTCCGTACGTATTTTGAGCACTTTTTAGCCATTTCTACTAAGCAAAACTCGAGGTGAGCAAAAATAAACGAATTTTTTCAACAATAGGGCTATATTGGTATTGTATTTTATTCTTATCGGGTAACCCGATTTACAGGAGTCGTCACGATATTATAAGACAGCTTTAACACCAATAAAGATTAATACAATACTCGCATTTTCTCGATTATAATGCACACTTTGTTTTTTCCGACNAGATTAATTAATTCAATAAATTTTAGCATTATAAATAAATTTTATTTACATATTCCATGCTTATGTTATCAAAGTAAAACAGATTTCTACAGTTTGATTTCCTTGTAAAAATATTAAATAAATACATAATTAATTTATATTTACCTATTAATAGTTGATGTAATAGGTGCAGGTTGATTTAATTTCAACCATATTGATTTAATAGTAAAAGCTTGCAGAAATAAATTGAATTGTATTAACTACAAAATTTAATTATTGAATTACAAGAATTATAAGAAAACATCAAGCAATTATATTATCAAACTTGCACCAACTTGGAACTGTTTTATAGATGAAATATTGATCTCAATTAATAATTGAAAAAGAATTATCAATGGCAATATCATTAATGATACCACATTTTAGTAACATAATTCTGAGAAACTATCACATTACTATTTTCATCATTATTATGAATTGAATTAATTAATTTTTAATTGTATAAAATATTTCTGTAATTCAAATATTTATTGAAATTATTTAATAAAAAGGAAGATGTGAGAACTTTTTCAAATGAGGAAAGCACCAGAAAAAATATCAAAAATCACTATAATGTTAATCACTTCTTGACATAAAATTAATGAATAAATTTTAATTAGTTAATATTTAATTAAATTTTCAAAAACAAAATTTAAAATAATATTTATCTTAGGAAAGTACAAAGTTAAATAATAATTCACTTGTATAGAATCATTTAATGCATTCCGAACACTGATTGAGATTGCTGTTAAGAACAGTATTAATATTCAATGTTGGAACTTGTAGTAAATGTGTCATTGTTTGGTTGTTTTAGTGTAATTTGTAATTTATTACTGTAATTTATCAACCAACAGAAAATAACCTAGAGACAATACAAAACAGCATCAAAGTTCTCTGCATCAATTAGATTACTGAAGTCTTCTTATTATTAAGCATTCAAGAGTCAGAAAGTTTAATTAGATGCTTCAACATATTTGAACAGTATGTTTATCTTTGTCAATTAACAAACTAAATATATGCATTATATTTTAAAATGAAAAATTTTTAAATTATTGTTAAAAAATTAGAAACAAAATGTAAATATTACAATTTTTAGAAATTTGATTTGATGATTTAGTGAATTTGATAACTTCTAAAGAAAAATATAAAAGTTATGTAAAATTAATTTAAATTTTTAAATGACTGAAATCAAAGCTATTCCTAAATTTAAATGTTTATTTTAAATCTCTAATAGAAATTATGAGGTAGACAAACATTGCTCTTAATAATGTTTATTTATTTATATTGTAATAATTAAATTCATTTAAGAAATTTATTTTAAACTATAAAATTCTGACTTTATTTTAAAAGATCAAACATTAAATCTAAAATCATAATATGTATTTAAATGAAAAATATTGATGATCAATAATTATTTTTAGTCTGTTTCCTTAGAATATTGAATATTTATTTTTTTGTTGCTGCATGGAAACCAGATAATTTTCTGTTATCTATTATAATGCAAAATTTCAACTTTTTTTTCTGTAATAATTAATAATGTATATTAGTGATAATTTGGCTTCTAACTTACAGTAATACAACTATTTTCCAATGTCTAATGATATATACCATAATAGAAAGTGATGATTAATGATTAAAACAACAATGATTATGAAAGTTGCTTCTAGCCCTTGATATAATTATATTAATTAAATTATCAACAACTGTGAGGCAGATAATAGTGAGGGCTTATCAGACCAATGATGGGCACAAATGCTCAGGGATCAAAGTGAAAACAATTTAATAAACACAAAAAATTACTATATAAGTATGGAAACGAAAACCCAAAATGCATTTTGGATATTTTCCCTATAGAAAATAGTCCCTGAGTGTTTGTGCCCATCATTGGTCTGATAAGCCCTCACTATTATTGATAATTTAATTAATATAACAGATAAATATGTTTTGTTTTAAATTAAAATAGGTATTTTTCATTGAGAATCCATAGGACACAACTAAATCTAATTTTTATAACTTTGAATTTATAATATTTTTAAATATTTTAGATTTTAATATTTAATTGTATTCTCTGACAAGCATTTAACATATCAATCTATCATTTTAAATTGTTTATTTACTACCGGTATGAATGAGTATTAAATTAATGTATAAAGTGTAGTATTAACAAATACAGAATGACAATAAAAATAGTTTATGAATTAGATTTTTGTAAATCACAAATTCTTAAACAAAAATATTTTTCACAATTTATTCTCCTGAATTTTTAACATAAGGATGTTTTCAGTTTCTGGAAATTTATTTTATGCATAAACATATTTCTTAACTTATGTAAATAAGTTGCACATCTATTTCATTGTATTATCAACTTAATTTTTTTCTTATTACTGTTTTATAAATAAATAAAGGTTGGCATAACAATAGAAGAGTGAATTTGAGTCTAATTTATAAAATGTGGCAAAAATGTCATTGAAATATAGAACCAACTTTAATAAATATGAATCATAAAACTTACATATACTATTCATAAAATATACAAAAAAGATTATAAATTTATATATAAAATTAAATATTTACAAATTCTATATTATAAAAATATTCTACAATTAAAAAAATGTAATAATTAAATTATTTTATACTAATTAAACTCAATTTATTAACTGTTTTGACATTTCCATTTATAATTGTTATTTATCATTCTTTTTTAAAATATTACATTGCAACATTAAAAAAATTAAATCCTTTTAAAAGGCCATTAAAATTAAACATTTTGTGTTACAAAGATAAGCAATTCAAATCTGATATCTGACTGTAGAATTTACCAAGTCTGAGAATGCCAAAAATAATCAATGAAACTCCTAAACAAATGTTCTGTTTCAAACAGCTTTTGGTTATCAAGGGTTGAGAATTTTATAAAACTTTACTATCTTGATAAACTAAATTTTTTCAGCCTGCATTAAATTATTAAAAAGTCTCATTCTAAGTTTTATAAAAAGATGAACTGCACAAATTCATTTTTAAATAATACCAGCATATACCAGTATATGCTGGTATCATTTATCATTTATCATAATTATGCACCGTTATAAAATAGAGAAAGCAAATTCAAGGTAATTTTTGAACAAAGTTTATCATAACAACAAAGAAATCTACTAAAGTAAAGAAATAACTTATCGAAAGGAGCGTCACCAACTAAAAATATATGTATATACTCCACCCTTCAGCTATTTTTCAAAAGATATAATTCTAGAAAGGAATACACCTATCTTACCAATACAGAAAGGTGAAGCTAAAGTTAAAATATAAATATTTTTTAAAGATAATATTTAAATTTAATTAATACTTTTTTATATTTTGGTTATTAATTCTGCAGTATACCAATTTTGACATGTGTTTTTATATATGTTACTTAAATCATACTTAAATTGTGACATGTGACAATCAGAAGCTAGACTTTTTGAAGTGTTACCTTTCAGACTGAGTAAAGCAAGAACTCGGCTTGAAAGGTGTTGCCGAAACATCAATTTTGTTACTTTCACATATGATATTTATGTCAGTTGTGTTATAAGTGAGAAGTTTATAATGTTTTGGTTGAAATTGAATATAAAATAATCTAGATTCATTCAAATATGTATGAAACAAGTTTTGTAATGAAGCTTGCCTATGGCACAGATTCTAGTTAGACCAGTTCACGTGTACAATGACCCGTTAAATTTATAATTATCATATTCAGATGAGAAAAACTGAACTATTTCCATTAATTTCGAATCCAGACAGCCAATGATTTGTGTATAACGTGCTTCCACACCGGCAACCGGTTGAATAAGCACAAAATATCTAAACATTCGACAATTTATATTAATAAAACGATTCCCGACACGTTTAAAAATTGTTTTAAATAACTTACCGATAACTTCTCCTAATTCGTAATCATCTTTATCATTAGGCCATCCTCCCGTCGTTGCTAAGGTACCAACAATTTCGGCCATCTTGGTTGCTATGCTGTCGCTCATACTCCTCCTAGCGGTCATTTTCTCCCGAACGGCAGCGGTGCTCTCCTGTAAAACATGTGCCGTCGCGCTGATACGTCTGTATACACCGGGCGATCCCTGAGTCGGTAAACTTGACTTAACGGAACCACGATAAGGAGCTTTACTAAAAATAAAACAAAATAATAGTCATCGTATCATATCTATAATCTTTTTTATTTGTTAAATATAACGCTACAATCTTATTTCCCAGATGTTTGGAGGCCCGGGATGGGTTATCCTTTCCTCATTATCTCTATACAATGTACAAAAATTCTCTCGTAGAGCCTCAAATAACCCACAACTGACATTGATATATTCAGTTTTACAAGCGAGTTAATTCGAATTTATAAATAGAAGTGTTATATACATATATAAACTTATACTTTTAATCCAATTTAAAACGCTTTTCAACGATGATTTATGATACAGTTTAACGCAATTATACAGACTTACTAAACGAGTTAAATATTTATTTAATTTAGAATATACTGTATAAATAGTAAATTTCACAATAAATAACTTTATTAATGTAATATTTATGTAAGGAACATTACGAAATTTTAAAATCCGAGCTGTAGATAAGAGCTAATTAGCGGCAGAGGAATATCATTTTTTTAAATCTTAATTTTATGCAATTTTATCACGTATAACTGTTATTTAAGGCTTTAACATTGTATAAACTATAGAATAATTTTATGAAAATTATAATTTCGTTTTTCTCTAGAAGTTTTTAAAGGTGTTTTCGCATTTGTTCTATAATTACGCCCGCAATTGAGACTAATTATATATTAGCAAAGTACCTAATTAAGTAACACGAGTTTTAACTGAATAATTCGTATACACTTACAGTAATGTGTAGGATTTAAATATTATAATCGATGTCACTTGTTGTTCTTTTGTTTATAGGGAATGCAAGTAACGACGAAGCCAATATTATACTATTAATAAAAGGAAATAGGAGTCAAGGACTGTTCATTGACCACTTAGTTGTTGTTATACGGTCCAAACTCAATTACCTAAACTTCATACACTAGCACAATAGTCTATAAAGACTACTTAAAATTAAAATTTAAAAAAAATTAGAAAGAAAAATATTATTTTTACTCAAAGAAATTCTATCCAGGAAAATTATATTCTTGATTTCACCTTGAATTCAAATTGGCCTTTATGTCATATACTCTTAGTTAATATTGTACCGGGTAGTAAATGTATATATACTGTATATGCTTACAGCATAATCAATCGTTTAAAAAATGATTTCATAGAAATATTATCATTCATTTTTTTCAAAAACTAACTATAAAATGCTATTTTTAAAGATTATTCTTTATAGAATTCGATGTTATCAGATGGAATTTTTCAGAACTAGTGCCAAAAATTGGTAACTCTTTGAAGTCTTTTAGTAATTATAATTAAATAGTATATATTACTCGCTTTTTCCAAATATTTTAACTTGTTAATTGCCATTTATTTATATATTAATGCAATTATTTGTCTTCTATTTACGTGTAATTTTCCTTTTTTCTTATCATTAGTAATTACAAAATAAATAATTGTTAAGCATTAATCATAATTAATTGTTTTTTTAAAATTACATACGACTTCTATTTATCATTATATTATTAATTGTTAAAAATTCACCCTTATTTATATGTAACCATTAATTACTGCATTATTATTATAATTTTTTATAATTTTCGTCACCCTTTAACACATACTGTATATTGTTAAGTAATAATTGTACTTTATATAGAAAATAATTTTTTTAAAATAGTACTTCGTCAGTTATAGAAAAAAAAACTCAATTTTTTTTCAACAGCAAAATTTGCAGCCTATAATTTAGAATATTACTTTCTTTTAATAACCATTCATTCATCAATACAACTTTAATATTAGCTGCTGTCAAAAGATAATTTTTTCAAATTATTTAATTAAAATTAAACGCATGTAAAAAAATCTGCATATAAATATATTAAGAATTGCGTAAGAAAATTACAAAAATGCAATATTTAATTGCTTGAAAAGTAATTACAAACAATGATTTAAGCATATTTCTTAATCTTACACGTGCAAAAAATAAACTAATTTTAATAAATAAACAAAAAAAGTAGTTAAATCCCCATAACCTCTCAAGCGCAAAATATTTAAAAACACTCAGAATTTAATGATACTTATTTTACTTTTATCACTTTAATGATATGTGCCATACTTACGAAACTTCGATTATGAAAATCCTTTCGTGAATCAATATTAGCGTGTACTTTTTCCTTACAATTTCAAATAAGGATATCCTTTAAAAATATAACACTACTACTGAAGCTATCCATATGTAACAGATGTGCCATAAACATGTGGACTGTCACAGAAAATGTCAGTTATATGCTAAAAATTCAATAATAAAATATATGTCTTTCTAATAAATTACAAATAGCATTTTTATTTTTTGAAAATTTGCCAAAACTATTAGGAAATTTTTGCTATTGTTTTATTGCCAACACCTATGTGCTATGTGCTATAGATTTGCGAGTTAACTAAACAAGTTGCGGCTTGGGCCTCACATTATTTAGTGAAGGTGAAATGCCTGTTATATGTTGCAGCTTAGAGCCATAACAAGTTTAAGTCCAGCTCTGGATCTAGGTATAGATTGATTTAAAGAGTAATATTTAAATGCTATAATTATGTTTGTTTGTTTTCATATAAAGGTTTTTTTTTCTATATTTCGACACACTTATCAATGTCTCGCTTCGTCAATTATTAACTTGATAATTTTTCCTCCCTCGCAATCATAGATTAAATGAATAGAAAACTTTACCTTAAATGAGTAGAAAAATTCTAAACAAGAGTTTACAACTGTTTTAAAGTTTTAAATTAAAATATTAAAAACAAATCTGCTTAAATTTAAAAAAATAAATTAATTTCTCTAATTTTTTTTAATTAAAAATATACTGAGATAATTTTCTAATAAAAATGTTATCTTAGGAAATTACTCATACAGAAAATTCTTAATTAAAAGTTTGCAATATAAATTTTTTTTTGTTATTCGAATTTTAATCCAATTTTTTTCTGTTTTATTAATTTAATAATTTATTAAATTTAATTCCAATTTGTAAAAATATTTTTCTTGAATTTATATTAATTAATTAAATGTGAATTATTTTAAAGAATCATTTCATTGATTAAACTGTGCTTTATATTATTAAATTCTGTTTAAACTTTATTTATTTTTTAATTTAAATTACTGTAAACTTATTTAATCTATGCTGTATTATATTTTTTTTTAAATTTATTTTATAAGTTTAAATATAGCATATTTTAAATTTTTAAATCAAAATAATTGTTTTAATTTAGAGAAAAAGCTTATTTAAATTTAGTATTTTAAAATTTAGTAGTTAAATGTACTGTACATATACACAGTTGTAATCTAAGAAAATTAACGTTTACATGCATATGTTGAATTACTCATAATTTTAATGAATAAAGCATTTTATGATCATAAATTTTGTAATGTATTACTAATAATTAAACCAGATAAAGATCAGCAAGGCCTCAAAGGCCCAACTGGCTTTCTCTGTCTCATTTAATTATTCCAACAATCTAAAAATTATAACCTCTATTTGGGGCTACAAGAAGACCTCAAAGAGCGTATTTAACAAAGCTCTTTGAGGTCTTCTTGGTTCTATCTGGCCTAATTAAACCTATTAGTATCTCCAAAAGTGTAGTCTACATGGCAAATACAATTTAAAGGTCACAAAATCTTTAAAATTTAGTTTTATATATAAAAATATGATATAAATGATATAAATTATAGTGGTTTTATTTGTTTTATGAATTTTATTCATATTTTTATGGCGTTTGGAATGGAGTGGGGTTTACGTTTATAAGTGAGCTGAAACTCATCTAATTCATTAAGATCTTGTCAATAATAATTGTAATAAAATTAGATAAGTTAAATAATTACAGAATTTTGTCCTGAATACACTTATTTACATATTTTAAAAAAAGAAAAATGACAATTATTTGAAGATATACTGGAGGAATAAGTATATCATCGTTTTATGGATCATAAAATAAAAATCATTAACAATTTTACAACCTTAATACAATTTAATATTTGCTTCTAAATAAGCACTCAAGGATTTTATTTTATAGCTTTTAATAGAAAGGGTTTTAAAAATATTTTTTTATTAAAGAGTTTAGAATTTTTAGAATTCAATCAAATTATAAGTTATACAGTTTTACTTTCACGGCTCTGTTATATATAATAGAGGGAAAGTATGGCGATCGGTCAAAAATTGACCCTCAAGATTTTTACATTTTTGGACTCAAGGGACCTTGAAACGTCAAGTAGCACAAAAAATCGTGTATGTTAGTGTGTGTATGTGGGTGGTATCATCATTTTGTTCAACCTCTTTGAAGTTTAATAACTCCTGTGCTTTTTGTTGAAAATTTCTGAAATTTTGCGGGGAGGTTTGTGTATTAGAGGGATTGATGCTATTAAATTTTGGTAGTTATAGGCTGACGGGATGGGGAGATAAAGGGTGTCATGTGTCATATCTCGAGTATGGTCAGACTTAATGACGATTTTACTCGTTATTAGCATTTAGAAATTTTTATAAAACTCATGGTTCCTAAAAATTAAGCTTTTTGCCATTTTATAATAAGTAAAAATATAAAAAGTTTTTAATAATAAAACATCATAATAGATTGCGCCGCATACGCAGTTTTAAATGTTGCCGGGAAAGTTAGGCAACTCGTTGCTGGATTTATTCTTCTTCGGTTTTGGATAGTGCCATTTAAAGTTTTGTTTTGTATTTAATTCAAACTCATATTCCAGTTTTTAGATTCTGATCTACTAAACTAAAATCTTTAAAATTTTTCTTCAATAATACTTTTCATATAACTCACAAGGAAACTGTCGGACTGTCTTCTAATAAATTTTAATAAAATTTAGTTTTAATTTAATTAAAAAACGGTGCAAAAATTAGGTTTTCCATCTGTCGAGGGTAATTAGAAAATTTTTAGATTTGTTTAAAAACATGTTCGATTTTTTGCAAAAACGCAAAAATAGCATATATATATAGTACAGTAAAAGTCAAGTTTTTCAGTGTAATCCTGAAGTTTCCTTAAGATATATTTCGAAATTTCCCTCTGTCAGGAAGTAGAATTTCGAAAAATCCCTGTTAGTGTACATTCTCATCACGTACGTTGTGTATCAAATTTCAACTTTCAACACCTAACCGTTTGGGCTCTGCACTTATTATTATCATTATCAACCCTCTCGATTATATATATAGATGTATGTAATGTATGCATAGTATATATACATTACATACATCTATATATAGAGAGAAATGTAGTATTATGGAACCCTGTATGTATTATGGAACCCCTCTATTTCAAACTGATAATAAAGGCGAACTGTAGGGGATTGTGGCTGAACTGCACTAGGCAGACATCCATAGCATAACCCGTTTCACTTCAGTTAAACAGTTGTCCGTAGTGAATCAGCATATTTGTGTTTTTCGAAATTCGAAAGTTTTGAATGGTAAGTGAATTTAATTATTTCTAAAATATATATCGTGTGGTTATAGGTTCACTGGTGCATGTATTCTGTTCCTTAGACTTAGGTGTACATGTTAATCTGTGTGATGTTCACGTTTTTTAAAATTTGGTCTTGACAGAGATAAGTTAATTCAAGATGGCGATTCAAATGCCGCTTTTAATATGGAACCCGTCTAACTTTTGTAAAAGTATGTGGATAGATGAATGAAAAAATAGAAAGAAAATGAAAAAAAAAATAAAAATAGATACCTAACACCATAGGAGCATTATATTTCTGATTTTTGTAAATGATTAGCTTGTTCTTTGGACATTTCTTTATTATTATCATTATTATTATTATTATTATCATTATTAAATCATTTTTGCAATAAAATACTTTGGAGTATATAATTTTGAAATTATTTAACATTCTTTCTACTTTCCTATTTGTTTTTGTATACATTAAAGCATTTTTTGAAAACATAGAGTAAGGTTCCATATTACCACCCGGTTTTCCCTAAGCCTACTTACTGACGTTTTGTACAGAAGCCTTCAAAAACCATAATTATAGTTACACTAGCGAAAAATCCAATTAGAAACATTTACTTTAATAATTACCAGTACTTTTTGCACAAAAAATGTGGGTGTAGTTATGATACCATGTTTATAATTCACTATAATGAAAATGGTGTTCCATAATACCACCTTCTCCTCTATATATTATCGAGAGAGGTTGATAATGATAATCTAAAATAATACGTAAATATGAGTTAGCTTTTATTATAAATATAGAAGCATTCAACATAACATTTTTTTTTTTTTTTTTTATACATTCATCAACNAAGATGTCATATATATATATATATATCAATGGACGTGTATGTCCCTATATTTCACTTTTCCGCAAAAACTACACATCGCACGTGAATGGTGTTTGTATGTGGTACTAGTCTCAAGTCTCCATTCGTGCGCTATGGTGGTTGCGTCTCGATAGCTATAAGGGTGCGGGAAATATGGGGCTGAAAGTGGTTTTCTATTTCGAATGTTATGTTCGAATTTGTTCGAATTTAATTCGAACATAAAATTCGAATATTGGTTCGATTATAGAACGATTGTAAAGGTTTCAGAAACGTTAAAAATAGTTCGTTTGATTGGAAGTGAACAGGTGACGTTCAGAAATAGAATCGGGACCAGGTCTTTAATTAGTCTGGAAACGGGGGACCTAATTTTTGCATTCTGTGAAAACGGGTAAGATTGGCTATAATGTAATTATCTTAATCTTCACTATCGTAGCTTTTTGCCCACAAATAAAAACCCAGCGAAGCGGGTCCTTGCAGCTAGTTTTATATATATAGATGGACGTGTTTGTCACTATATTTCACTCTGCAGCAAAACTACACATTTCACATGAATGGTGTTTGTATGTGGTAGTAGCACCAAGTCTCTCATCGTGCACTATGATGGTTGTGTCTCGATAGCTATAAGGGTGTTGGAGATCTGGCGGTTGAAAGTAGTTGACTTCGAAAATGTGTAACAATGGAAGCGTCAACAATAGAAGTGTTAACAATGAAAATGTTAAGGGAAAGCGGCATGCAAGATTTACAGGCGCAAATGCAATTTTTTGCGTTTTTGCAAGAAATCGAACATATTTGCAAGAATTTTCACAGAATGCAAGAATTAGGTTCCCCTGGAAACGGGAGACCTAATTCTTGCATTCCGTGAAAATGGGTAAGATTGGCTATAATGTAATCTTAATCTTAAATGTTTTCGAATAGTCGAGGACCATTATGTGTGAGTAGTACGGATGGCTTTTGGAGACGTGTGACTCACATGCTTCAGTTGATTTTTCATTAGTAAAAGTGTACGAATAACAGAAAAAGGTAGAAAGTGAAAAGTGAATAGTGAAGGGTGAAAAGTAAAAATATAAAAAACAATGCCAAAGTGTAAGAAAGAATTTTTGCATTATCGAATCATATAAAACAGAAATAATCAGAAGGGCAACTTGAAAATTGTAGGGATACACACCGAATTAGACAAAGATTATGTAGAGGAAGAGAAACAGTCTTTTATATATAATAAACTATATTACATATAAATGTACGAACAAATAAAAACCCAGCGAAGCGAGTGTACTTGTAGCTAGTAGAAAATTAAAAATCAAGTTTAAGTGATTTTATTCGACTTTACATCTGTCTGCCACAAATATTAAAGTCGTAACATCAGTAGAAAAGCGTTAGAAGCACATAAAATCATATTAAAATATATACATTTACAGTAAATGTTAATATAATCATCATAAATCCTAGAGAACGAAACATGAAAACATATGT